GAGAGAGAGAGAGAGAGAGAGAGAGAGAGAGAGAGAGAGAGAGAGAGAGAGTGAGGTGTTAATGTACTTTGACCCGATATTGAGTGTGCCAGCTATTGTGAGGTGTCGGTCGTGTAAATAATTTCCAACTATCTACCTTCGCGTATTTACGATACGTGTATATATGTAAATCTCTCTTTATATTATATGTATTATCTATATACATATATACGTATCGATACATCTATGTAGTATTATACTATATATATATATGTATACGTACGTAGATACGATATATGTATTAAATGTGTTGTGTGATTGTTTGTGAGAAAGCTTATAAATCGTTTATGATAGATAGACATTTTTGTTTCTTTCTTTTTTTGGTCAAACGAAAGACAATATTTAATGGAGATAGACGTCTCTACATCCTATAATAACCCTTTTGGCTTTTCGTCGCGAGCAAAAATATGCAAATGTTCAATTGTAGATTCTTGTACATCACGCTTCTAGACGGGATACATAGGAATGTGCATTAGCAGGAAAGTCAGCAGTTTGCATTGCGAAATTCGCAATTTTGTAGGAGGTGAGGGTGGTTGTTGGTTGGGGGTGGGCTTGGGTGAATTGAGGAGTGTGGAGTGAGGGGGGGGGCGCGGGGCAGGGCAACGTTGGGGAGTGGAATTTACGCTGTCGCTCGCACATGAAGTTCTTACTGCAAATTTATGGACAGGCCCTTCAAAACGAGATAGGAGGAAGGAGATCTACGGAAGAACCACCAAGCGATTCGCATATGTTTCTGCTAAACCCACACAGGGCGAAAATTAATTAAGTAGTCTCGAGCACAGTAGGAGACGAGGAGGAGGAGGAAGAGGATGGACTTATATTAGTCGAAATCTAACGATATATTAAAATAGAATTTTTTTTCTTTGCACGCGCGTTAACGTTGAATTAAATATATCTTATTAAATGCACACACACATATAAATAGAAACAAAAAATATCTATTTTTCTATATACAAGTAGCCCTCCCTTACGACACGGCATCCTATAACACGGTTTCGTTCTAACTCGAGAAAAAAATTGTCAAAATCTTGGTACACAACATTGTGCATTTCTACAGCACTGAATAACACACAATTCATATTGCTTAACATATTTAAAAAGTAAATTAACTTAAAGTAATGAACTATGGGTTTCATATAACACATCATTATCTAGAAACTTATCTACCGCGTTATAGTAAATGTGGTTTCAATTATTATTTATAATGTCGACTGTATTTAGATATATAGATAGAGGAATACAATTGCATTCAACCGAGAAATCGATGTCTTTAGGAAGCAGCAGCAAGCGTATAGGATCGTTCCTCTTCTTCCTACTTATTCGGCGGCTGCTTAAGATGACCTTAAGCCGCTTACGCAAGACGGTGGTAGCTCACTGGAGAAGGGCCTCCTCCTCCTCCTTCTAGTTCCAAGCGTTCACCGATTCTCTCTCTCTCTCTCTCTCTCTTTCTCTTTCTCTTTCTCTTTCTACCTTTCTATCTTGTCTTCTCACGGTGTGTCTGTCCATGTTCCGTCGGTTGGCTTGCTTTGCTCAAGGCTCATTCCTCTTCCCTTTTATTTCTCTCTCTCTCTATCTATCTCTCTTTCTCTTTATCTATCTATCTCCGTTTTGTCCCCCCCCTACCCTTATCCTTCTTCTCTTTCCCCAAACATCCATCTCCTTCTCTCTTGTTCTCTCACTTTGGCTCAGGGTTATCCCTCGGAGTCTAGCTGGTGCTCTCGCTTGGCTGACTGGCCAACTGCAAATCCACCACCCTCTTCTTCTCTCTCTCTCTCTCTCTATCTATCTCCTTTTCCTCCCGTTCTTCTTGCTCCTCTCTTTCTGTTCGTCCTTCTCCTCCTATGGCGAGTTTCGTGCCTGTAGCTCGCGTACCGGATATAATACGATTCGAAATTAAACTTCCGAGGCACGCCCGGCATCCGAATAACGCGAGCGGCTGCCTAAAACAGTAAAGATATTACGTATTATTACAGCGTGCCACCACGAAAGCCTTCCTTCCTTCCTTCCTTCCTTCCTTCCTTCCTTCCTTCCTTCCTTCCTTCCTTCCTTCCTTCCTTCCTTCCTTCCTCCCTCCCTCCTTGTAGTCGTGTGCAAGTATAATGCGCTTGTATTAGTTGTATAGGTGATGGAAGTTGCACGTGGGAAGGCACGTTGTTGCCGCCGAATCCCCGTGGTCGTCGTTTCCGTCGTGGCGTTTTGCTAAACGAATGCAACCCGCCGTCACGAAGTTCCTCGTGCGCTTGGGGGGTGGGAGGTGGGGGATGCATTTGGAAGAAAATCAACGATACATCTCCGATTGGCATTATATTTTATTTCCTATCTTAAAACTTTATCTTAGATTGTAGGACGGGCCCCCTCGTTTTACCTTTCACGTCAAATTATTTTCAAACATAATTATTTTTTCCTTTCCTTTTGTCGTGACTTTTCTTGGTCTGATTTTTACTTTTTTGTTTCTTTTTTCTTGACAGATCGAGCCATTACGAACCGTGTTAAATTGAAATAAACTTACAATCAAAATTTGTGCATATTCTCATTATTTATATTTTGAATTATAATTGAATGCGACGATTGGAAGAATTGTCAAATCATTAGTAGAAACGTAAATCGTGTTTTTAAGACGATATAAATATGGAAAAAGATAATGATCGGATTGTGTAGGTATTACTATAGCAAAAAATAATCACAGAGAACGATTGGTTGATTGAACATCGACAGAAAATGTGTGTCCAAGTTTTATTTCACGATAGTATAACGGCAATTCTATGCTATAGTCCTTTTCGTTCATTCTCATTGTAGGTGAAAGACTGAAACTTCGATAAGATCGGTATTCTCATGGTCTCTTTATGGTCACAAGGCAAACGTTAGATCGTACTTTCTTGGTCTATACTCCGATGGGCTATATATATATTGATATAAACGTCTTTCTTTAGTTGTAGAATTTTCTTTTGTAATAGTATCTTATTAAAACATTTCTTTCATTTTAATGATAACATTAAAGAAAATATTTCATTGGAAATAATTACCATTGAAATGAATTTGTCAGTTGTATTTTCATTTGAAACGTTAGATTAGAAAACTGTACAAACGATTACGTTTACTTGTCAGCAAAATTCACTGGGAAGAAGGAAAAGAAATAAATAAATAAATAAAGGAAGAAAGAAATGGTGTTCAAGATAGTGGATGTTCCCTTGACTAATGCCTTCGTTTCCTCGACAGCGTGTAACGAGTACACAGGGGGTCACTAATCAGTCGCACAGTGCTTAATCTTAGACACGTTCGTGTCTGTAGGTTAAACGATGCCCGGGAACTCGCGTTAGGTTTTGCTGACTTAGAAGCATACGCTTCTGTGTAACAAGTGAGATTTACCAAGTATTGTTTCGGCATCTTCCTCCACCTTCTCTTTGCTCTTACTGTTCCTAAACTCCCTCTTCTTCGAGATCTTGCTGAATCTTCCTTCCTCGAGATAATTTCCAAGATAACCACCGTTACATTTTTATCTTACTATACTACTATCGTCCTTCCAATTTTACGAATAATTTTCATCCTGAATTCTCCTGAGAAAATGAATTATCCGTTAAATAAATGTCGTAAATGAGAAAGAATTATTAGAGATAGATTTGCATTAGTTTTTTTACTTCTGTTAAATTACCTTGACCTATTTATTATCTGTTTTACCGTGATCCAGAAATATGTTAAAACTGTGTGGTCCTTTGCGACCACTTATCCGTTAACAGTCAGTGGATGTTAGCGACAGTATCGCCATTGGTGCCACTTATGGCTTTCAATGTACAAAGCTGGATTGTCCAGTGTAGTCACCATTGGACTACCAACGACGACAAGCTTTGTACGAATGTTACTAATGGTCGCTCGTAGAAGTAGAAAGGGGTTGAAAAGGTGAGCAAAGTGACGCGCCGTGTCCTTTTAACTATGTATTTCCACTTCTTGAGCTATATAGAACGAAATATAAACTTTAACATTGTTTTATAACAGTTACGTCATAACGAGTAAAGTATAGCTCTTAAACTATGTTATAATGTAACTATTGAAAATTTGTTTAATCGTTTACCATTTTCAACCTTAAATTCTGATATTTATTTGGTCAGTAGTTTTAAATAAAAAAAAAACAAAAAAAAACACACACACACACAGTTAGTTTTCATTAGTATTTTCAACGGATGACTTTTACAAAATATTTCTTCATACTCGATCATTCATTTGATAAAATATTAACCACCAATATCGAACGTTTTTTTTTATTCCTTTTTTTTTTTTTTTTTCCAAATTTGTACAAACAGTATGGGGAGGATGTTGGAGACAAAAAAAATATGGGGACTTTAAAGTAGCAGCTTGTTTTCTTTCTTTTTAAATTACTATTCGTTTTTTTTTTTTTTTTAATTCCTCTCTCTCTCTTTTATCATTTCCATCTTCTTTACCGTCATCAACGATGCAACATCCTCCGGACCGACATTATTCTGTTTTAACGGAATTACTCCAAATTGTGCAAATATATCATGGTTATGCTATTGCGGCTGGTTATATTGCGTGCTAAGCGACCTCCGACGGTTCCACCCCCGTTGCCACTATCAACCCTCGGGACTTAGGGTGCGCGGAAAAGGGATAGCAATTTGTTGGAGGGCAACCAAACCTGTTTGTACGTATAGATCACACTGCTCGAAGACCATCCCCGAGTATGGTTGTTGTTCCTTCCTCCGTTTATTTACTTCATGCAGAAATATTTCTTCGCATAATTTATTCGCACAAATTAGTGGAACGATGAAATGTTATATACATAATATATTCCAATATAATATTATTATTATTATTTGAATTAATATTGAATTATACACGTTAACGATAACATATATATATATTATATGTAATTTTTTATATTATATATTAATATAATATTATATTATATGAAAATATAATATAATTATATTATTATATGTTATTTTTGTGTATATATTGTATTATTAATTTTGTATATATATAAAATATAACAAATGAATTAAAATGCACCGATTTGAAAATGTCGTAATTTGTTTGCATAATTGTTGCGTTTCTCGTAAGATTACCCTCCTTTCTTCTTCGCAAAAAAGGTTAATGCAACTTTAACCGTTACATTTCTAAAAAAAAAAAAACATTTTTTGTATTTGCCGAGGCGGTAATTGTTTCATTCCTGCAACCCACCCACCTCTACAGTAGCTTCCCAGCTTAACGTTAGAGTCCTCTGTTCGATAAAGGAGAGACAAGGGAGGAAAAGAGACGGAGAAAGGGAAGGAAAAGGGCTACGTGGAGAAGACAAGGAACGAGGGCGGAGAGGGGAGGGGGAAACGTAGATATAACGCGTTATTTAAAAAAGGATTAAGAGAGTTGAATTACAGCAGGACCAAGTTAATTATATTCTGGTGTAAGCAGAAAAGGCCGAGATTACGTGCGTTGAACTTGCACAAGGAGATTCGACTAAGGATTATGATCAAAGAGAGAAAGAAAAGAAAGAAAAAAAAAAAGAAAGACAAATAGAGAGGGGGAATGGGGGTGGGGAGAGTGGGATTCGTTACTTTACAGTAAGAACATTAAAAACGCCTGAAATGATATTTGTGCTGGTGTTATTTTTTTTTGCATTTTTCTTTTGTTTCTTTTTTATTTTTTTTATTTAGAGAGATAGAAAAGGGGTTAATTTATTATTATTATTATTTTTCTTTCTTTACCGTCGCGTTTATCGTGTTTCACATTAAAAAAAGGAAGAGGAGGTGGGATGGGGTGGTGGTCCATTCGTATCATGCGAAAAATGCCAGACAAATTTTCCAATAAGAGTAAATCCATTCCGCGAAGGAGAGGATAATTCTGTACGTGTATTGAATATCGATAGACAATTTACGTTAGCTTGAAAGAATTCGATAGAAATAAGTAAAAAGGGAAAATAAGAAGATAGATGAAAGAACAAAAAAAAAAGAACTCACACACAACAAGAAAAGAGAAAAAAAGAAAATCAAAAAATAAAACACAGGAAAATAAATAAGAAAACGAAGAAGGAGAAAGGGCCAGGGGGTGGAGGATGGTAGGGAGGGCAGAATAGCAGCAAAGTTGCCGAGTAACGGGGTAAGGATTTTTCACGTCTCGAAAGTAGAATAAAGAAAGAGAGAGAGAGAGAGAGAGAGAGAGAGAGAGAGAGAGAAAACGAGTGTTAGAACGGAAAACGTAAATCAGAAGCTTGGCTACGGAATCGCCGGAAATCCAACAAGTGATTTTATTACAGAGAGATGGGTCTCTTCCTTTCCTTACTTCGTATCGTCGACCCTTTTCGTGATATCGACTGCACTCATGGAATGCGAAAGTAGCGTCAAATCGGAAAATCCTAGCTACGCGGACTCTAGAGATTCCAATGTTGTTGGTTGTGTGTGTGTGTGTGTGTGTGTTATCGTAACGTTTTAAGGATTCCCGATTTCCTTGGGAATAAATTTTAATAAATCCTTTCGCGCTCCTTATTTCGTTAATCTGAAATCCCAAATAAATTGTTAAAAAAAAAACAAAGTAGTTAGTTTTTCAATATCAATATTTTAAATGATTATTTAGTTTGATACACAAATTTATGTTATTCGTATACGTTGTTATATTATTATTATTATTATTATTATTATTATTCGTGTAAAAATTGATGATAATATAATAGGATAGGTATCTATTAAAATAGAATTAGATTTTTTGTCGATAGAAATGGGGAAACGAGAGTTTTTGACTTAGACAAATTATCTTTGTTATTTTTTTTTTTTTAATTGGAACGACCAAATCGTAATAGACTTGAATTTAGTTAAGTAAGCAAGCAGCGACGTTCATATTAAATTCATTGGATTCTAAGAACATTTTTGTTTATTTAAAAGAGGGATAAAAAAGAGGCGGTTGAGTATATTATGATCGGCTTTGATAAAATAGTCAAAGAATTAAGTAAGACGACAGCTATGAGAAAAACCAAAAAGGGATTACCGTCGGTGACAATTGTAATTTCCTAGGTATTCGTTGATGTACCTAGCTAGCTCCGAGAAGGAAATGTAAAAATAGACGCGGTAAAAAAAGAAAAAGAAAAAGAAAAAAAAAGAAAATGAGAAAGAAAGAAGAAAGGAAGAAAGAAAGAAAAAGAGGATGAAAAAGATGAAAAGTTGAGTGGGACGGAGGCGTAAATTAATACAGGGTGTTCACAAATGTTAGACATTATTATATGGTATTAATAAAATGATTATTCTTGTACTTTTGTATACGAACAAAAGGTTTAAATTTTAATTACCATAGTTTTTAATTTGTTTCAATATGCGCTCATTCAACCGCATTTTTTTTATTCGCTTTATTTAAATTGTTAATTAAATAATGTTAATTAAATTTTGATTCTCTCTGCGCGCGTACTGTAATACAAATTATATTTTTTGTATTTTCGTATTGACATTATTTTGCGACTAAAACACAACGCGCCGCAGAATACAGTTAAAATGCAATTAGTTGATTATAATTTAAAATATAATGATTCTTATTTTAATCGGGGGGGGTTGAAAAAAATAAGAAGAAGAAGAAGAAGAAAAGAAAAAAAGAAATACTAAGAGAAGAGTGTTGAGAATTAAAACAAAAATATGTATATATAAATGTGACGATCGCACAAATCGAAATGTTTTGATAATAATCATTTATGAACACCCGGTATATAAATATTGTGCAAGCTGGCGCGGTCGGAGCCGAGGCGTTTAGCAAATTAAAAGTTAATGTAGTATATAAGCGATTCCATCCTGAAATTAATTCATGAGAGAAGTTGCGCCTTGTGCCACGGTCAATTCATCCGCTTTCTCGTTCTCTTTGCATTCTCTCTCTCTCTCTCTCTCTCTCTCTCTCTCTCTCTCTCTCTCTCTCTTTCTCTCACTATCTCTATCTCTTTCTATATTTCTCTTTCTCTTCCTTTCTCCTACCGACTGCGTGCCGTGCTTGTTACAAAACTTAAATTGCTTCACATCGAGAATTAACTCGTTCATTCTTCCGGTATGGTAACAGAGGTGCCTAGCGACATACTATTTCTTCTTATCTAAGAAGTCTAAAATTATTTAATACAAAATAATATATATATATATATATATATATTATGAATTCTAATGTTTACTTTTCGACTTACAAACCTTTATCAATATCTTTGATTGGTAGGAGAAGGTGTGTTAAGGGAAAGGAGGGAATGCATAGCATAATTTTAATTAAAATAGTATGGAGAATACGGTGAAAAAAATGTGATAATGAATTTAATTAATTTTTTGTTTGTTTGGTTTCGTTTGTTTGTTACACGGTTCTTTTTAAGCGAACAAATATCTTCATACAAGAGTTACGTATATGTGTACTTGTTTTATATTTTGTTTGTTATGTAAAATATATTGTCATTGGATGAAAAATAATATTATTAAATGTAAACGAAAAGAGAGAGAGAGCGAGAGAGAGAAATAATGGATAATAATGAATTTATTTTTTTTTTATTGATCGGTAAAATTGAAATGGTCATTTTTGTTGGTTTAAAATATTCGGACATTAGCGTAGAATTCGTCATTCGCGTATCTCCGCGAACTGTGGTTTTACGTCAGTGTACGGTTTCGTAGAACAGCATTAACCCCCTTCTGAACTGTTGCCCGGAGTAATAGGAAGCAAAGTTCCGTTAAGCCAGAAACTC